CCCTCTCCCTCCCTCTCTCTTGTAAATATATACAACAGTCTTCTGTTTCTCTGAAGGGCCCTAACACAGATTTTAGTGAGGTTTTATGACATTCACAAGCCAACCCATATGCCCCTCTTTGGGTTCAAAGTGCTGAGGTGGCACATTAGCTTAATACTAAGGCGTCAATCCCCAAGTTGGGGTGGTCCTCGCAGGCTCGATGAACCCAAGTTTTTCATGATGCTGGAGTCACTCCTATTGGCCCACAGGGCATAGGAAGTATTGGCTCAAGTGTGGGTTCCCAGGGTTTAACATCCCTCGGCGGTCACCAAATGTTCTAAACATTTCCGCATCTGGGTTACGGGGCTGGGGTGAGGACGATGGAGAAGGAGGTCTATCAGAGGAAGCTACCAGGCATGACCTGCATGCTACCATTCACACACAGAAGGTACTAGCAACCACACTAGAGTTCCCTCGTGGACAAAGTGCAGTCTGAGGGAGCCCATTCTAGAGAAATCCCCACACTAGACCCTCAGCGGGGAGACAGGTGGCCAGGAGTCTGGAACTACGGGCTGGATGATCTGGGGCAAGATATTTACTTTCTGCATTTTAATTTCTCTTCCACGAAATGAGCCCTATTAAATCAATCAATGTCTAAGTGCTTTTGAAGAGTAAAAATTGTCCAAAACAGTCTTTTCTTGGCCGTGTCTTCATTTCCTTATCTGCGGAATGGGACTGATGATACACGGCCCTGCTGAGTGGCACAGAACGGAGGCGGCAGCGCGCGAAAGTTTGGCTCTCTGGGAAGACTGCGTGCGGTCGTGCTAGGTCAAGTGCACGTGGAAAACAGTCTCATTTATATTCATCTCACTTTATCACTTACCCTGTATGCCTTGTCTTAGATTTAGGACCAGCAAGTTTCTAGGTGGGGAAGTATGTGGACATTAATAAAAAGACATAAAATCATGATCTTTCAACAGCTCTCATTTGTAGAGCAATGGTGGGTCCCTCATGCAGCCTGACCAGTGGGACAAGGAGGGGTGCACATCCATAAATACTTGCCCCTTTCCTTCCTCTGAGCTCGAACCATACTTGGCTTGCCCCTCTTTTATAACATTGACCATTTTCCATTGTGACTTTTTGTCCATGTGTCCCACCCCTACGAGTGAAGAAGCTGGGGGCTGGGACCATCCAGCACCACGGCCTGAAATATCACATAATAAAAGTTTGCTAAGGGGCGCCCGGGTGGCTCAGTCAGTTAAGCGTCCAACTTTGGCTCAGTTCATGATCTCATGGATTCTGAGTTCTAGCCCCACATTCGGCTCACTGCTATCAGCACAGAGCCCGCTTCGGATCCTCTGGCCCCCCTCCCCGCCCGTTGCCCCTACCCCACTCACGCTCTCCCTCTCTCTCTCAAAAATAAATAAATATTAAGAAAAAAAAAAAGTTTAGGGGCACCTGGGTGGCTCAGTCGGTTAAGTGTCTGACTTCCGCTCAGGTCACGATCTCGTGGTTCACGAGTTTGAGCCCCGCACCAGGCTCAGAGCCGGGAGCCTGCTTCAGGTTCTGTGTCTCCCCCTCTCTCTGCCCCTCCCTCACTTGCACTCTGTCTCTCTCTCTCAAAAATAAATAAACAACAACAACAACAAAATTTTGCTGAGTGAAGAACCTCTCCATCTTACAGATGAAGAAATGGGGCGGCAAAAAGTTGATAGGGCCTCACACTTGCCACCAGGGACCACGAGGACCCACCTGAGATAGAAAAGACTCCTTGGCAGAGAACCCCTACCTAAGGTTGGCAGGCATCTTCGAACCGGCCCTTCAGTCCTCAGTCATGAGAACAGCGAGTACAATCATTACGTGTCTGTACGCACGTTATCTCAGTCAGGCACCATCTCCACTTACAAGACGGGTTGCTACTGCAGATGGAAACTGAGACCCAGCGACGGTAAGGGAGCTGCCCGGCATCACAGGCTGGCGCACAGCGAGCTGGGATTTGATCCAGGACGGGACACTGATCCCAGAGCGCAAAGACGTAACACAACCGTATCCTGTTTTCCTTCTCGGTTGTTTGGGAATCCTTGCTTCTGTATTATGCACGACGCTCCTCGGTGTCAAGCTCTAGTTTCCCGCAGGTTCATAAGAACCCCAACAGATACCAGCATTTCTCATACTAAAATAATCTTCAAAGCATGAAGGGTAATTCAGATATTCACATGGATGTTCAGGCCCGAAGTTAGGCACCTGACAGTCAAGGCCCGATTCCACCGCCCGTTAGCCGTGAGCTCCGGTTTACTCAGCTGCAAAGTAAAACCAAGTGCAAAAAAATTCCTGCCCGGGCGGCCTCCCAGAGTTGTTATGAAGTTCCAACAAGATGGAAAGAGCCTTAAGAGCCCACAAGCAAGCGAGAAGCTCACATTCTTGCTCATTAGCACCCAAATGCACCAGAAATTCCTTTCTGGCAGCTCAGGCCCATCTCAAGCAAAGGGTTTCAGAGACCAAAGGGTGACAGTCTAAATGCAAAAGCCCACCCCGGGAACCATGATGCAGGCACAGTTGGACTGACACACGGAAAGTTCTAGAACAAAGAGACTGAGGCAGTCCCTTCTTGGTGCTCACTGCCCAATACACACACAGGGTCAAAGTCCTAAAGACGACAAAGGGACATCATCGGGCACCGAGTCACAGGTTACTGGAGCAGGACTGGACTCTACAGTAACACACATCAGTGCCACGTCTTGAAATGAAGAAACTGAGGCACAGGAAGTTCTCGAGACGCTTCAGAAGTGCCAGCAGGGCTGGCTCACAGGCCAGCACTGTGCGCCCCAGAGCAAGGCTAGCACCACCTGTCCGGGCCAGGGTCTGGGGAGAGACGGACTCCTCCCCCTCCAGCAGGGACAAGCAAAAGTCTGAATCAGAAAGCAAGTCCTCAGTTTTTACATGCTGTTAAATGGAATGTTTAATTACATTAAAATGTTAAAATGTTTGCTTAACTCCTTGTTTGTTATGATCATGTGGGTCCAGGATGGTTACTAAAATAAATAAAAGAAGCTGCTGCCTAATTTCCTCCCACTTTCCAGACACTGTGCCAACCGTCCCCAGGCTCCATGCAAGGAACGGTTCTGTGATTAATGTTGGGTGTTGAGATGGATGCAAACATGTGCCTGGGTGACAAAGGGCCCAGGTGAGGGAGGGTTACTGACACGAATCATCCAGTGTCTCCTGGAAAAACAACTCAAAGCGGATTCGCAGTGCATGACGTTATTTAGGGGAATGTTTATTTCAAAAAAGCAATTCCGGCAGCCGCCAGCAGAGGGCAGGTTTCCAAAAAGCTAGGAACCCAGCGACCCTGTGCTGAGCAGCCTAAGGACAGAGGCCCGGGGAGAGCTCCAAGGAACCGGGGCAGAAACTGCTGGGTCCATCTGGAAGTCATCATCTCTGGGGACAGGCTGACTCACCGGTCATTGAGCAATTTGTTCTAGGTCTTGTACCAAGTCACCCACCAGTGAAAAACTCCGACGCTGCTCCCTATGCCTGTGGATCACATCCCACAGAGAACTACAAACAAAAGCACAGAGGTCCAACGGTTCCCTTAAGATACAGAAAGAGATAAAGGGATAGAAAGAGACAGAGAGAGAGACACCAGGAGAAAGCTAGACAGAAATTAAGGGAGAAAAGATCAGGCCAGGATGCACCCTCACCAAGTCAGCTACCCACGATCAGCCGGTCCCTGGAGCCACACTCCCAAGCACAGGACACGTGATGTGACTGCGCAAACTCAGTCGACAGCAGATTACAAGATTCTGCTGCATTCATAATGTATAAGGTGCTCCACGAACAGCCTTTGGAAGCAGCAGAAGCCGTACTTAGTAAATTAGTTTCCAAGAACCTTCTCAATGGACTCCCTAGTACTAACAGAGCACCAGCCTCAGCCCAGGACCTATCAATATAATTTGTAAGGAGTGCCTCAAGCACCCGGAGAACCGGACACGAGGAGGCTCGGGGCAAGATCCCCTGCCCTACGCCCCCACAAGACTCTCTTACTTACCCCCACAGAAATCACTACCAGCCACGGAGCGGGCACTCATTTTGCAATAGAACGTTCCCCAGAAGAGTTCTGTGGCAGATGGAGCCTGACACCATCTGTGCATGTGCCTAGTTTATTTAGACTGCATCAAATTAAGTCCAACTTCGCTATAGAAGCAGGGGCGGGAGGGAAACGCGCCTGCCCCACCCACTCTTTGCAGCGCCCGGCTTTAAATAGATACTGACAAGGCGGCAGCGGTGGAACAGAGAGAGAAACCGGAGCTCCCTGCCTTGCTCAGCTGTAATTAGGTTAATGCTGGAACGCGATAAAAGCAGCCCACTTGGCATGAAGGTCTGGAAACGGAGCCCTCCTCCCTTCCTGACCTGCCCGCGGTCACACAGCCGTGGAGGTAACGCTCACCCTTTTTCCGGGCCTGGGCGATGACTTCGGCCGCGCTCTTGCTCATCACCTTGGTGACGTACAGAGGGCAGTTGGTCTGGTTGGCGATGGTAATCGAGCGATTCACGGCTTCGGCCTCGACCTGCAGAAGAGCACGTGAATGTAAGAACTGTGCCCACTCTGTGCCCACTCCACGGGCCGTCTTTACCCTCAACCCACCGAGAGAGGCCGAGAGGAACAAGAGGCCACGGTGTCCTCTGGGTTCTACCCTGAGTGGCACCCCAGGAGGGGGAGGTGACTCTCCCAGTGTCACTCAACACTGTTGGGTGGAAACGACGGGGGCGTTTCCTTCCTAGACCCTTTGAGTGGCTTGAAGAGTGCCCAGCCGACCTACGACATCAGCGTCAGCCCAGAGCTGGTAAGAAACGCGGATCTTCAGGCCGTTCCCAGACCCTCTGGGGATGGGACCCAGAAATGTGGTTAGTCCTAACAGCACCGGATTTTTATGCTTTGCGCACATGAGAAAACCACCAGGCAGGGAAACTGCTCCCAAGTCAGTACATTCGCTCCAGCTGTGTGGTCTTGAGTCGAGACAGTCAGTGGTTGAGATTTTTGTGCTGGGCTTCTGTCTGACACCCACAGATGAACCCAAGGAACAGCGCGACCTCACGGGGCTCTGGGAACGGAGCAGGCTTGACTGGGAACGTCAAGCAACGGTCCTTAGCCCGTGGTAACGTCCAAGGCCGCACACAGACTGGTACGGCCTTCCGCACGAGATGGGAGAGCTGCTCTAATAGACGAGTCTTTAAACCTGATGCTTCAATGAATAATATTTCAAAGACCCTGAGTGATTATTGCTAAATACCTGACCAGGTCAGACTACTGAGATCAAGGTATGCCTCACAGACATAGTGTGTGTTTAGAATGGGCAACTGAACGACCACGTGAAACTGTAGAACGATGGATCTCAAAAAGCCTCTTGCTCCCTCTCAGATCCTGGAAGAAAGCTGTGGCTTCAACTCCTTGAGACAGAGGGCTGGGTCTGACTCCGAGTTTTGTATCCTCTGTGCCCCACCCCCAGTGTAGCTCCAGCGGGACTACATTAGTTCCCAACACAGGGCCTGGTACACAGCCGCTGCCCCAACGTGTTTACTGAACAAATGGATTCCTTTATGTTAATGGTGAAAGTGAAGCCGTTCTGTAACGAGCTGCTATTTTTTGCAAGAAATAGCTGAGCTCCTAACTGAATTATCTTAGCTAACCAAGTTTCTACAGGAGCGTGGCCAAGAGCTAAGGTTCTATAATTGCATTAACTGGTAATCTAATTTAATAAATGACGACAACTTCATTCACGTTTGCCCTTTCGGGCATCAACCATGTGAAGAGAGAGGTCTCAAAATTCAAAGGCAAACCAAATGGCTCTTGAAAAAGCTCATTAATCGTCCAAATGTTTTTAATTCCTGGAATAGCTGAGCCATTGGCCCTCCCTCTCCTTGACTCCAGTTTCAACAGAAGTGCCTCTGGCCCGGGGAGGCACAGAGGAGGGATGGCCTGAATCTCTGCGGTCACCTCAGAAGTCTACAATGTGAAGTGCAGAAAGGACTCTTCTAGAATCTTCATGGCTTCCCAGCAGTGCCAATGACTACTCAATTTATTGGCTGAACACAAATCCTTCTGAAAGTGAACAGAGGCACTATTAATGAGTGCATGGGGGCAGCCGGCCTGGCCTGTGACTGTCCTGGGTGAACTGGAATGTGAAATTGGACTAATTAGGGAATAAATGGAGCAAAAGTGCCAGTTCTACTGGGGGCCTACCCCTGCGGGACAGGCTTCCCAGGGCCCACTCTGGATTCGCTCATCCACTGTGAGGTGAGCTCTGGTCCCACCCCTGCTCCCGCAGACGCCGGGGGATGGCCGACACCTAACTACAGGGCCACTTCATTGAAAGAGAAGGCCACTTAGACCCCATCTCTCTGTGTTCCACTCAGAACATGGAAGGATCCACGTTTACCCTTCTGTGTGTACCTGTGCAGGCCCCTTACATGCAGGGAACTGATTTAAATAATATTGACCTAAAATATTAGGAAAATAGTATTACAACTTAAAATTTTAAGAAAATTGTCTCATGATAGAGCTCTGAAGGATTTGGGGGGTCACTGAGACTTGATGATTTTTAAGACTGGACACCCCAAGATCCAGAGAGGAAAGCCACTTATCTAGGGACATACAACAGCGTTGGCGCTCACTGACCACAGTGTCGGTACACACAACAGAATCAGAATACACAACAGTGTCTGCACACAACACCCCCTCTGTGGCTCAGTCCCCCAACTGTCGGCCTGCCCCAGCGGCAGTTCCAGAAAGCCTAGCCAGAAAGCTCTCTTCTCTGGGGAAGCCTCTTGGTCACCATCACCCTCACCCGCGTGTCCCCAACTTCCTTCCCAGATGCCAGCCTTTCGGCCCGGAGCCCCAGTCACATCTACCCTGCCTGGTTACTTTCCATCTCTCTCTTCCTCTCCAGCTCATCCATAGTCCCCTGCTCATTCATCTCGCAGTCCCAACAGGGCCCAGTCATCATACATGTCGGGCACCATTGATGGACAGGTGGTTTCTAGATTGCTGCATTCCCTACGGTTTCCCTCTCAGTCTTCTCAGCTGGAAAGGT